GTACTTAGGAAATTTCAGGGCCATGGTAAAGCACAAGCTAACTCTGTCAGCAAACTATAGAACAGACTTCATCACATCTAGACAAAAAAGTGGATAACATTGCAGTGACAGAGTCTCACTTGTAAGTTGAAGCTGTGCAGTGAAAAGGGGAAAAAATTAAGTACTAAAGCCAATGGTTAATAGAAAAAATTGAAAGCTGCAAAAGCATACTGCGCGGTAAAACCGTTGTGCATCTCTCTTGGACAGATTCCCATAAGACCATCCTCTCACTTGGGCAGCAGCTCCCTCGATCATTGGTACAGAAGGGGCAGAATATTCAGTCTTACGACGTTTCTGAACCCTCTCTGGAGGTTCCTGAGGATTGGATCCTTTCTTTTTCCTTTTACTGCCCCTCTCAGGTTGGATTGGTTCTGCATAGCTCTTGGTATTCCTTGCAGCACGAGGAGCAAGAGCTTCCTAAATGGAGAAAAATACAGGAGTAAACCCACAAAAGAAACATTCGGACAAAAAGAATAATAACATTAACAGACTTCAGAACTTCATACTTCAGCTTGGGCCACAGCTTCTGGCTTTATCCAACGACTCCAAAAACTACCATCATCTTCAGCACTACAGAAGTTGGCAACCTGGATATACAGAACTTGTGAAAGAAGTTAGTTGATCAATCTACATGGTAACTTATAGCTATAAGAATAATCGCAAAAACCAACTTCGCTGACGACCCAAAAGAAAAGGAAAACAAATACAGGCTGATAAAATTAAGGCCACAACCCGGAGAAAAAAGAAGAACAAATGGTGGAAACATGAAGGAAAGAAATAAAAAGAAGATCAACCATATAGTAATTTTCTTGCCTTAAAAGCACTCAACAATTCATTCCCCTCTTCTCCTCCAGCCACCTTCTCTTCAACCTTCTCCGCTCTTTCAAGGATTTCATCAATATCCATACTTAATAATCGTTTTTTGCTCTCTTCATCATTTCTATCCTCTTTAAAAAGTTCTTCTGCTCCAAATCTTAAGATTGCCGATAGTTCATTCTGAAGACATGCCAGAAGTTATTAGGCCCATTAAAATGATATGAATGGTGATTATTAAATAATAACATCATTTCTGATCACATCACATAGACATGAGAATCTGCAAAGCAACTGAATCATCAGGTAATAAACAAAAATTATTCCAAAGATATGTTCTTACTTTGTCAAAATAACTCCCCTTCTTTGCTTCTTTCTTCTCTAGCCTACCCTCTGCATTTAATTTTTGGATCACCAAATGGTCCAGAACCTATGAAGAGCACATAATTAGAATAATGTAAGAAATTATTGAGAATGAATACCACAAAAAGCAAGGAAATGTGGCTAGTATTCGTGTGTTCACACATGCTTGTTTGTGCTCGTAGATGCAGAATGAAAATGCATGTACCACTATACTCCCTGTCATTCACAAACAAGCAGTGAATACACAAAGAACACTTATATGCATCCTCGAACTATATGCTTTCATGCATAGGCTTTCTCATCAGACATGAAATGCAAGTACATCTTTCTCAATCCCTAAACCCTTCTCTTCTCAGAAATCTACAAAAACACATTCATGGACATCAAGAAAAAAAATCACATCCACACCAACACGTGCATGCAAGTCCATATGAGTGTATTCATAGACACATTTATATAGTCTACCATCTTTCTCTTAGCACGCTCCAGGATATCCTCCTCAACACTCTTACTCATCACGAATCTGTAGATGTTAACAACCTCTTGTTGCCCAATTCGGTGAGCTCTACTCATTGCCTGATGCAAATTGTTTTTTATAAAAAAAAAAAGTGAACATAATACACTTTCTCTGCAATACAAAGTTAACCAACAAAATGAACCAAAGAAAGGATATTATCCAACCAAAAACCTGCAAATCATTTTGCGGATTCCAGTCAGAATCGAATATTATAACTGTATCAGCTGTTGCAAGGTTGATCCCGAGTCCACCAGCTCGTGTGGAAAGAAGGAAGCAAAAATCATCACTACCGGGTGCATTGAAATGATCCATTGCTTGCTGGCGCAGCTCAGCCTTTGTACTACCATCAAGCCTCTGAAACTGGAATCCTCTAAGCGACATATACTCTGCTAATATATCCAACATTCTTACCATCTGCAGTAAATTAGCATCCCAGATTATTCAATCCCTTAAACAAGCTTATTGGTTAAAAAAATTAAACACCTAGGTCCACTTCAAAACAAAATTCTACAGTACTGAAAGGAAATAATCTTCTAACACATCATGCAAGGAATTAAACCAAATTAGGGGAGTAACAATACAAACTTCAGAACATGAAACTATAGGCTGACACCCGTAACATGCTAGATAATTTGAAAGATCTACACAAACAGTTGGCATAATCAAAACAATTATTAAATCAGCATTACTTCTGCAATCACCACAGTTAAGCGAGGCTGATCAATAAATAATTGAAAGGTATTGCAAAAAATATCCAATTTACAGAACATCCAGTTTGTAGTGGAAGTGATTTCATGGATACTCAAGTGCAAAAGCATCAGAAATAGACCTGAGAAAATATTAAGACCCGATGTTTAGTTTCATGCAACCTAACAAGTAACTTGTCAAGTATAGCTAGCTTCCCGCTACTTAAGATGATCCTCTCCAGCTTACTGCTGTCGTTGATACTTGTGTCCCCACCGTAACCATGGTCAGCACTTTCAAATAGGAAAGGATGATTGCAGCATTTCTTCAACTCCACCACAATGTTTAAAAGTGAGACCTGCAATGCAAATCAACTAATAATGCTTTAAATTCATGTTATCGCTATCATAAATTGAACTGCGAATATACACAAATGTTTAAACAATGATAGAGGAATAACAGACGGGTATGGCTGCTTTCTTTGCTC